AAAATCGATTTTGCGTAAAAATTCCCGTTTTTCCTTAATTTTTCTTTTGTTTTTCACGTCGCTTTTGAAAACTACTGGGAAATTTTTACTTTTGACCCCCCAAAGTACCAATTAGATTCACTTTCCAATCAGAAAAGTTACTGCTGAAGAAAATCGAAGCAGTTTTACTGTCCTAAAAGGTGATGACAGACTCAAAAAAAAAATAAAAAAAAAAAAAAAAAACACACATCATTGTAAAATCAATACATTCATCGTTCCACTCAGAATCTAAAATATATATATTGATAATAATACATTTATATTAAAACTAACAATTAAAATAGTTTGCTTACCTAAAAATACCCATAAACTTGGATGTGAGACTGCAAATTTCAATTTTAAGGCATTATGAAAACTCTATATTATTGTTGGTTTGTCATTGTGGTAAACCATATACTGACACAATGTCTGGCCCAATATTTTGTAACCAATATCTTTAAAAAAAAAAAAATTCTTTCTTTGTATTTCATGAATGTTACCTACTACACTGCAATATTATTGTATTATTACTTATTGAAACATATATTATTATGTAATATTATATATTATATTTTTATATTAACTCATTACTTAGTATTCTGGGGAATTGAATTAAAAATAATAAAATAGTTCTCATTGAATGAATCATGTTTTAGATTTAAAATATCTTATATATATTTATTTTATTTTTTAGTACCCTAGTCCATAGGATAGAACACATTCAATGAATATTATTTACTACTTCTATTATGTTAGAGTAATGAAATAGATAATTGTTGTATAATCACTAATTATATAGTATATTGATTTACAAGAAGAATTACCTTTCGTAATAACTAAGCAATCTTTCCAGATGTACCCTATGATTTACTGCAAAAGCTCGGATTAATCTAAATCCTGCATCCATGTCTTGGGCAGGCAATAATGGTAGGCATAACAGTAGTCTTAACGTTTTTAATGCATTTTCATTGCGATTAACATGGTATAAATAACCCAATTTATGCATTTTTTTTCAAACAGCTTAAAAAAAAGATGCGTAATGTTAATACAATTTATACAAACATTTATACTTGTTTGCATTCATTAAATAGGTACCACCTACTTGATTATGATGAAACCAACACCCAACCGAACGAGCTCCTGGAAAAACGGATATCAGCACATCCCTCAAAGCTGTTTCATAATCGGTTATTATAATTTCAGGAGTTAAATTTGGTACTAGATTATGTTTAATGAACCGAATAACACAATCATACGAGTTCCTGCTTTTACTCTCCATTAAAACATAAACAATGGGTATGTACTGAAAATATATAAGTAAGTATTTAAAATTGATTACCTATGTACTTATATTGAAATCTAATTTTATACATTTTATATAGGTGTATGGAATAATGTCTTACATAGTTCTGAATCATACAATGTATAGTTAACAATTGATATCCCATATTTCTGGGTACCACCTTGAATGTAGCATCTGCGTGTATTTCAGAAATACCACCTCTTACTACATTTTGGATCAAATTAGTACAGGCAAAAACAATGTTTTTCCTACCATCTACATCTTGTACACATGCCTTAAAAAACGGAGCATTACAACAAGAAAAACGTTAAAGTTCTCCATTTTCAAATAGTGCTGCCAAGTCTAATAAACAATTTGGTAATACAGGCATGGAACTTCGTCTGCTATGTCGCATGATAGACTCAGCAGTAGACCATGGGTACAATGCAGCTACATCCATATGCCTGTTTCAGAAGAAATTGATAATAATACTAACAAATTGTTATAAATCTTAAGTAAACTAAAGTGATTTACCTTCTTGCTTCTTTGTCGTATAAATTTTTTAACAGACCATTTTCTGTAGAAGCTCTGTGTTTCAACACTTCACGGAAATTATCAATTAAATTTTCATTTACACAATGATCGTGATTATGTGGTTTGAGAACAATTGTTTGCCCATTCGGTAATCTTTTTAAAGATCCGGTACAAAAATGTGAGTGAGCTTTGCTGCATTTAAAATAACTGAAATATTTATACCAATGATTTATTAAGAAATATATTTATCAATATATAAGACATTAAGACTTAGTAGTTTTGAAAAAGTATGGTAAGTCTGGTAAACTAACATGATATAAACAGCTAAATATTTGAACTAATTATTTAGTTAATAAATATAGTATATAGTTCTATTCAAATTTAAATGTTTATTTTTCCTTGTAAAAAAGTGATTGTTCAAATTGTTGTTTATAATAAATAAACATATTTTATTACATAGTTGTATTTATTTATGGAACTAAATATTGTTAAAATATGATGATTAAATTTATGTATACAACTATACCTATATAAGTACCTGTATAATATTAAAATTTCTATTTTTTCAAAAACTTTGATGGGTAGAAATTTCTATTTTAGAAATTTTAAAATTTAAATTTCAAAACAACATAATATATTCGAAATACTTACCTTGTTCCATTTTTGGTGCCATTATTTTCATATATATGCCCAAGGTGTTTCATTGTAAACTTTCTTTAATATTTTTTTCAATTAAAAAATTAGAAAATAATGAAAAAATGGTTTGTTAACTGGTGATCTGACTCGTAAGGATGTCGAAAATCGAATAAGCGAATAATCGAATAAGCTGGTATAGCAATCAAACAAATATTATGTTTTTCTAATATTTCTTATTATATTATACTCTTCTCAAAAATCGTTTAGGTATATTATGCGGGTATTATAAACGAGTACCTTATCGAGTGATTACTCGCGGCATACCGTGTTTCGTGTGTGTCGTCCAAGTCCAATTACCAATTTTGGGAATACACCATTTTAAACTTTATCGTAGTTGTAATAACTGAAATTAGTGTTCCAGGTATTCCGTGAAGGAATTTTGTACAGTTTTATTACGATAGGTATAATATTATATTTATAAATTATAATATTCAAAGGTCAATAATTTAAATTTATAAACTAGCTAAATTTGAATGCTCGGATAAGTATATTTACAGTGGTAAATCGTAAATTACGTACCTACATATTATAAAAAAAACAATATAACCAAGTATTATTGAAATCCATAAAGGTACAAATGTACAATAATATAACTAATATAATATCTAAATTAAATATTCTTTATTTAAGTTTAGTAGTAATTATTAAGTATAGGTTCAAGTTATTTATATAAATAAATAACTTACATTAATTTTTTTATTGTGTAGCCTACGGCTTATCTACTGAAAATTCATAAATAAATAAAATTCAAGAGCGATGTAATTAATTATTAAGTTCTAGATAATATATTATAGTATAATATTTTCTTACTATAGACCTATTATAAATGTTAGTTCCTAGAGTATATGGAAAAAATGCTATACCCAACATGCAAGTTCTTACACTATAAAATAAATTTCGTATGTTAGTTCCTACTCCTACACAGTGAAAAAATGATTCCTAACCTAACCTGAAAAAAAAATTAGTTATAAAAAAAAAAAGTTATAATAATGACAATAATAATATTTGATGATTTAATATAATATGTATATTTAATATTATATTGACAAAATGGACAATGGTATCGGAATGTATAGAACAATCATTTTTAACTCTATTCTTTAACCTATTCTATTTCTAAACCATATAGTACGATTTTGAATATGACCAATTTTCACAAGATTTTTTTGATTTTTATTATGTTTGTTTTAAGCGACGAAATTAAAAATCGAATTCCAATGGGCACTGTAAAAAATTATCAAAAAAAATTAATCAAATCAGACCACTCTTCGATGCCTGAGATTTTTTCTCGTAAAGTATGTTTTGAACCAAAAATTATGCATTTTATTTTTGGTCGGTGGTACTGTTGACAATACGTGTGCACTGTGCACATGCAGTGCGTGTGTTGATAGCCCGGTACAGCATACAATCACTCACACTAATCATTATTGACAATTAACAAAAAATATGCCATAGGTGGCGGCTCCAAAAATTGCATATTGCCTAAATATTGCGCCTTATTAAGACACACAAGCAGGCTCATTAAGGCACTCTAATTGACGATAATACGTTTTTTTAAATTCCGGATTTTTACGGGATATTATGGTCCGCACATTTTTATTTTCCGGATTTTTACGGTTCCGGATATAACGACCAGTACATTTTTACTTTCCGGATTTTTACGGTCCGTGATATTACGATCCGAATATTTACACTCCGAAATCGTACAGTCAGTCGGGATTTTACATGCGTCCGGAAAATAATTGGCCGGAACGATAAAATCCGGAAAGTAAAATGACCGCAATGTTAAATCCCGGACCGTAACAATCCGAAATTTAAAAGTACGGGAAGTAAAAAATCCGGAAATTAAAATGTCCGGACCGTAAAAAACCGGAATGTAAATCCCCGGACCGTAGGAATCCGGAATGTTAAAAACCGGAATGTAAGAACCCGGACCGTTAAAACCCGGAATGTAAGATCCCGGACCGTTAATATCCGGAACGTAAGATCCCGGACAGTAATTTTCCGAAAATTAAAAATCCGGAAAATAAAATAAAAACAATGGTTCTCAAAATAGTGAACTCAAAAAACTGAAAAATGAGTTTTAAAGTTTTTAATAGGTATTTTAAATCACTGTTAAATGAAAAGGTTTTAGTATTTACATTTAAGGGTTGAGTAAGTTCAAATTACATCTAAGTACAAAGTTTAGAATGAGATTTCTTTGAAATAACTATACAAAAAACTAGAGCGTTATTATATGAACAATTTTTAGGTATAAGGGTCTGAAATTTAAATTTTTCGAAATCGCGTAAAAAAACTTCTTATACTCAAACGAATTTACTATCTATATTATATTACTATATTATCATATTACTATATTATATACTATACTATATTAGATTTTCGATATAATTTAAAAGTACAAGTCGTAAAAAATTAAAACTTTCACCAGTTGATAAAATTGGCATTGTGTTCACAAGATTTTATTTTCTAAATATTGCACTTATTTATTTATATTTAATTATAGGCGTTTGTAATATTTAATTATTTTTCATAAATGTTGATGACATATTTTTGACTTGGTCATTAGGTATAGTTGATCATTTAATAAAAAGTTTATCATCGGGGGTGTTCGGAACGCCGATAATGTACAATTGAAATTATGATATATATTAGATAGGTAATACGATAACGTGATACGGCCGTTGTCCGTTGATACGAACGTTTAATAGTTATTAACCAGTATAAGCGAGACCGCGAGAATCAACGGTCGATATAAATTGTGTTATACTCGCAAATAAAATTGTTTTTTTTTGAATTGTAAGTGTATTGATATTTATAAATTTTTGTTATAACTTTCATAATTCACGTAATTTTTTTTAATTATAAAAGATTGTTTATGTGAATTAAAGGAGTTGTTAAATATATTATTATAATAAATAAATAAAGTGTGAACGTAAGAAATTAAAATTATACCTAATTTCCCGTTCCACAATTAAACATGGTCCTTCGAACAGGATATCAATACAAAAAATAAAGTACAATCAACTAAAAAACCAAATAACGCGACAATTTGCGTGTTAAAGCAGTGTGGATTACCATCGAAATCACGAGGTAAGATCAAATTTAATATTTAGTATCGGGCTTCCCGCAGCATATAAAAGTCCCTATCGTAATAATAGTCGTAGCATTACCTCAAATAAATTGGCATCGAGCTTGATATCAGTGAAATAGTACGAAGTTCAATAATAATGGATGATAAAGATATGGGAACGCTAATAAGACGGCGAGGAGTATTGAAAGGTCAGCTAACAAGATTTTCGAACGATGTCAATGAATTTAAGACCGATAGCGACATTGAAATACTAAAAACCTAAAAACGGGTGAAATTCTCTATTTCGGGTGTTGATAATTCAATGAGTCACGCAATTCCGGGTAAAATAGACGTATTAATTGGTGCCGAATGTTTTTATGATATTATACGTCCTGGAAAATATAAAGCGGAAGAAAACGGTATTATATATCAAGAAAGTGAATTAGGTTGGATTGCCGCCGGCCCCACCCACAATGTAGCGCCAACCGACGAAAAATCATTCGTGACGATGACTGCGTTGATTGAAGACAGTGTCAGTCTAAATGAGCAAATAGCTAAATTTTGGCAAATTGAAGATACCAGCAGAGCCCAGGGTTACACAGAAGAAGAAAAAGTATGCGTCGAGCATTTTAATCGAACAGTAAGACGAGATAAGACGGGAAGATTTGTGGTAAAACTACCATTACACGAAATTTACGATAAGCTAGGTGAATCGAAAAATACGGCACTTTAAAGATTTTTGGTCTTGGAAAATCGATTTAAAAATAATACGAAATTACGTAGCGATTATATCGATTTTATGAATGAATACATACAACTACGTCATATGTCAGAAAATACGGCATTACCGTCAACTTCGGCGAAGCTGCAAAAATTGTATTATATGCCTCATCATTCTGTCGTACGCGCCGAAAGTAATACGACGAAAACACGCGTAGTATTCGACGCGTCGTGTAAAACGGATTCGGGTATAAGTTTGAATGACGTACTCGCGAAAGGCCCGGTTATTCAAGACGAACTTGTCTGCATAATATCGAGATTCAGGACACATAAATACGCAATGTCGGCGGACATTGAAAAAATGTATCGTCAGATATTAATAAGTGAAGAAAATAGGTCATTACAAACTATATTATGGCGATCACAACCCAGCGATAAATTAAAAGAGTATTGTTTAAACACGATAACGTATGGAACAACACCCGCGTCATATTTAGCGACCGCCTGTCTCGAAAAATTAGCACAAGAATATGAAGAAAAGGCTCCATTTGCTGCTCAAGCAATTAAGTCCGATTTTTATATGGACGACCTTTTAACTGGCGCTAACACGATTGAAGATGCTATTAATTTAAGAGAGAATGTGATAAACATTATGAGCAGTGCTGGATTCATATTACGAAAATGGATATCTAATGATCCCGCGTTGTTAACAAATACGTCAAATAATAAAGACGATCCAATGTTCATCCTAAATATAGACGGTACCGCGGTAAAGACGCTAGGATTGTACTGGGACCCCCGAACGGACGTTTATCAGTACAAGATTAGTAATCGCAATAATAGTAATGACCCGGCGATGTCGAAAAGAAAAGTATTATCTACTATCGCGACAATTTACGATCCATTAGGATTAATTGGTCCTGTAATCGTAACCGCAAAAATTATAATGCAAAGGCTATGGCAGCACAAATTAGAATGGGACGATTTATTGCCCACACAGTTGAACGAAGAATGGAGCAATTATCTAAAAGAGTTAACTGACATTGAAAATATAAAAATACCACGTAGAATAATAGGCGTTGACAAGAATAATGAGATCGAAATGCACGGGTTCGCCGACGCATCAATTTGCGCGTATGGTGCATGCATTTACTTAAAGGCTACAGACGGATACGGCAACTGCACAACGCGCCTTGTCGCTGCTAAATCACGCGTAGCACCCTTAAAGGTTGTATCGTTAGCCAGATTGGAGCTTTGTGCTGCAGTTTTATTAATACAGCTAGTAGAAAAGGTGATACCAAGTTTAAAAATAAAAATAAAACACAAGTATTATTGGACGGACTCGACCATAGTTTTAGCCTGGCTAAATTCACAATCGTCGAGGTGGAAAACGTTTGTGTCGCACAGAGTCGGTGAAATTCACAATTATTCGTCAGCCGATCAATGGAACCACGTCAAGTCACAAGACAATCCCGCTGATATTATATCACGTGGCTGTAGTCCGAATCAATTAAAAAATAATATTTTGTGGTGGGAGGGTCCTGCGTGGATGAAAAAAGAAAAATCGGAATGGATAAAAAACACATTGAATGGCGGTGACTTACGAAAAGAGGACGATCTTGAAGAAAGAAAAAATCTGATTATCACTTTGGTCCAAACAGAAGAGACAAATTTAACTAAAAAATATTCATCATTAACAAAACTATTAAGAATAACCGCATACGTGTTACGTTGGAAACATCGCGTCGTAACAAAAAAAGATAAGGATACCGCGATACAAAATATTACGTACGAGCCTAATGCGGGCGCGATAATATCGGTCAATGAACTAGAGTACGCGCAAACGAAAATACATAAAATAGTACAATCGGAGTATTTCGCGGACGAAATAAAATGTTTAAAAAACGGTAAAAGTGTATCGAATAAAAGCAAGCTGCATTTATTAAATCCTTTTTTTGACCAGGACGAAATAATAAGAGTAGGTGGAAGATTAAACAATGCAGAAAGTATGCAGCGGGACAAAAAAAATCCGATAGTACTTCCAGCCAACACTCATTTCACAAAATTAGTATTTAGTCATGAACACATAAAATTACTTCACGCGGGACCACAGGCATTATTAGCATCCGTACGTGAAAAATATTGGCCATTAGGAGGTCGAAATGTTGCAAAAAATACAGTGCATAAATGTATAGCATGTTTTCGTACTAAACCATCCACATATCAACCTATATTAGACAATCTGCCCGCCCCGCGGATAGAAGTGGCAAATCACGCATTTTTAACGTGTGGGGTAGACTTTGCTGGACCGATATTAATTAAAAGCAGTTTAAGACGAAATGCACCGACATTGAAATGTTATATATGTGTATTTGTCTGTTTTTTCTCAAAAGCCGTGCACATCGAGTTAGTCGGTGACTTAACGACGAACGCATTCTTGGCGGCACTCCGACGATTTTGGTCCCGACGTGGTATTGGTAACATTATATACTCCGACAATGGAACAAATTTTGTCGGAGCGAATAGGCAATTAAAGGAGTTACGCGACCTGTTTACATCCGAAGTACACAAAAAAAAATATATACCAGTGCGCCGCCGAAGTAGGGGTAGAATGGAAGTTCATTCCCCCTCGCTCTCCCCATTTTGGAGGGTTATGGGAGGCAGCTGTAAAATCTATAAAAGGGCGATTGCAAAAGACTTTAGGAACAGCATCCCTAACGTATGAAGAAATGAGCACAATATTAGTTCGAATTGAGGCATGTCTAAATTCGCGACCGATTACGCCTTTATCAAACGACCCATCCGATTTAAGTGCTCTTACTCCGGGTCACTTCCTTATCGGAAGGCCACTGACTAATTTACCAGAATCTAACTTAGTAGACATATCGGCTAACCGTCTCCAGCGTTGGCAAAGGACTACTCAATTATTTCAACAAATCTGGCAGCGTTGGAGCAAGGATTATCTCACTCAACTACAAGTTCGGCAAAAATGGCCTAAATCTAAAGGGCCAGAAATAGAAGTGGGCGCTTTAGTTCTTTTAAAGGAAGACAATCTACCACCACTACGTTGGCAACTGAGACGAGTCATAGAAGTATCTACAGGCAAGGATGGAGTTATTCGAGTCGCTGCAGTGAGGACAGATCGGGGAGTATTGCAAAGAGCAGGAAGAATGCTGTGCCCATTGCCTATATATGATTAAAAAAAAAAAAAAAAAACAACAAAAAAAATATATTGTATTTGTATATACATATTAAGTAGCATGTGTTTGTAAATTATTATAATTATTATTGTTTAGCATTTAAAAGGGCATAATATTCTTATTTATAATTATATATTTTGATTTTACATCGAGTGTAAAATGTCGGGCGGCATGTTCGGAACGCCGATAATGTACAATTGAAATTATGATATATATTAGATAGGTAATACGATAACGTGATACGGCCGTTGTCCGTTGATACGAACGTTTAATAGTTATTAACCAGTATAAGCGAGACCGCGAGAATCAACGGTCGATATAAATTGTGTTATACTCGCAAATAAAATTGTTTTTTTTTGAATTGTAAGTGTATTGATATTTATAAATTTTTGTTATAACTTTCATAATTCACGTAATTTTTTTTAATTATAAAAGATTGTTTATGTGAATTAAAGGAGTTGTTAAATATATTATTATAATAAATAAATAAAGGGTGAACATAAGAAATTAAAATTATACCTAATTTCCCGTTCCACAATTAAACAGGGGGTCTTCAGTACCTACTTAAAATGTTATAAAATTTTGTTTTAAAATTTAAAATATATATAGGCACAGCTTTTTTTTATTAGCGTTTCAAAATAAAATATCGACAAAATACGTCAAAATCACGAATATTATTTTGACGTTAACATTGTAGCAGGGGTGGGTTAAAGGGGGTGGCTGAGGGGGCAGTAGTCCCCCCCCCCCATGGGACTAAGCTAACTATTTTTCAAAGCCATGTATTATGATAAAATAATTATTATAAAATATCGTTATTGAAGTTATTTTATATATTATATATATTTTTTGGCTATTTGAATATTTAGGCCTAATATTCCTATGTTTTATATATTTTTTTTAAACAAATAGATCATTTTTTATTTATTTATTTAGAATTCGACGCCCTTTTTCCAAAATTGAGTGTGGTATAATGACCATTAATGGATAAAATATAATAATTTTAGAAAATATAGTAATTATTATGTACAACACTAAATCATATTAAAAAGTATATAAATATATAAGTAAACAAATAATTAAGTATATAAAAATATTAAGAAAACACTGAAAGACTAATATAAAATTATAATGTTTTAAAAAAATGTAATTGACTTAAATTTAAAAGTACCCAGACCCAGAGTTTTATTGAAAAAATCTAAGGTGCTGGAGACTAAATTTGCAAGTTTTAGAGCTCTAATAAAAAAGGAGTCGTTACTTGAATTGAACTTGAACAATGGAATTGCAAAAATATCTTAATTTCTCAGGTAGAAAGAGGGAATACAGCAATAAAATTGACCTGAGCTAAAATGTCAGGGCATACAATATTATAATTTAACAAGTCATTTCCGAACATAAACAAAATAACTGACGACTTAGTTGGAGAGAATCTAAGTTTACTAAATTTTGAATTGGCATAATTGGGTCTTTAGAAATAGGTACCTAGGTTATTCATATGGGCAATTCTTTTTAAAGCTTTATATTGGATATTTTCTAGACCGTGAATGTGAGTGGTTAACGATTGACTCCAAATTAGTGATGCATATATAAGAACACATCGTACAAGCGAGCAATAAATTGTTTTTATTGTAGTAGGGTTATTAAATTGTTGAGTGTTCCTATTTATGAAGTCTAACATTTTATAAAATTTTCTGAGCATATTTTCATGATTTCGTTTAAAGCATATATCTAAAATGAACACCAAGATCTTTTATTGAATGAGCTCTATTTAAAACTGTATTATCTAATGAATAATTGTAAACAATAAGATTTTTACCATGAGTAAAAAAGACAACTTTACGTTTCCCTATGTTTAAAGGAAGAAAATTATTTTTTTTCAAAATTAAAAATGTATGCATGTTATTTTGCATTTATCGTGAAATAAAACTGAATTTTGAATTTTTGATTTGCAGGGATAGTATGTTATGACTTATGAGAAACATTGTAGTAAATTGTCAAGCTTTTTGAGCAACCTTAGTTTTTTATTCATAATTATAAAAAAAAAAAACAGAAAAAGTAGAATAATTTAAATGTCCATAAATGCTTTAAAAAAACTCAAAATATTTTAAAAGTTATACCCTGTAGTCTGTACCTATAGGTAATACTGATTAAGATATTTGGTTAACATTTCACGAATACAACATTTTTAGTTTCTTAATTACAACAAAATAGCAAAATCAATTTTGTCAAAAAATTTAATTTTTCCTATTTTTTTATTTGTTTTTGCTGATTAGTTAGAAAATAATATTTTTCTTTTGACCTAATTTGATCTAATATATTAGTTATTAGTTTATTACCTATGCATTTTTTAAAAACAAAATAATTTAGTGAAAATATTTCGATATAATGCTCAGAAAGTGCCAAAGATGCATGCACGCAGTGGCTGCGATAAAACTGGTTTCGGCCCTCGGTGAGGTATTTTTGCATGTGCACGTGGTGAGGGGGTTCTGAGGACGGTTTTAGAACACTGCCGCTATAGCTGGTTACACACGGAGCGGTTTATCGGATTTTCTTTAAAAATTAAACATCTATATTTAAATGGGTATATTCAAACGAAGTAAAATCGCTACTGGACGACCGCGATCGACCGCTTGGAATCGCGCTTGTTCAATTTTCGGGCGGTCGGCCGCATCCGCTAGCTAAAATTAAACTGTGGATTTCCAATAGCTATATTCATACGAGGCGGATCGTCCGCCAACCGCCGCGGTTTTTTCCAGCGGATTTGTCATTTATGAATATTCAGTTGACTTGGGAGCACTTAATATTTGTATTTTAGTGATATCTAAAATTACAGCCATTATTAGTTAATATTTTTTATTAATTATTATTTATACATAGGTAGAATACGTTTTTTTAAGTTCCTACTATTTAAAATGCCGTTCGATACCGAACAATTTATATTAACAATACAGGAAAATAACTGTACATGGGATAAACGTAAGTATCCTCTCGTTTAATAATTATTTTAGTAATTAGTACTCATTAATTGGTAATTACACCTAGATTAAAAAGTAAAAACATCATCTTTCTTTCTATACGTATTATTAAGATATTATATTATCTATTTATCTAATACCTATATTATGATATTATAATAGAGGCAAAAAGTCATCATGATATACAACTGCTACATGTTGGTTAGACCAATGTAGCCAAAAACTGTTCCGAAAATTTCGAAGACCTGGATGACGGCAAGAAGGCAGAAAAAAGTAAGATTTAATATTATTATATAAGAAAATTACTACATATAATGATATTATGCAGTAATATATTTTGTTCAATACTTGTTGGTTTAGATAAACTTATATTTTAATTGTATACGTAATACGTGGATCCTTACTTACTAGGGACAAAGGTAGATGACAATATTTGCAATACTGAAGGTTAATAAAAAAAATAATAACGATTTTGTACTTTTGTATATTATATTTTTAATTTTATAAAGGCAAGTATGTACCTCTACATATTTAATAATGACATGTACAATATACTCATATGTGGTATGAAATTATAAAATAAGGCCCAAAATAAATATAAGTATAAAATATGTAAATATGTTTTACAAAGAAAATAAGCAAAATAATAAAAACAATAGTGACTATTGGTTACTAAATTAGTTACAAACAACACTATATGTCATGTACTCGTGAGTCATGTTATTACGTCTTATTGGTTTATTTACCAATAATTTTATTTTGCCAGCTAAGCGCGTGATTTGGGTGGTTAACATAACTCACAAAATACTCCCTGACATCCTTAGCATTTGTCTGAGCGTTACCAACTCCTCTCCTCTCAGTTACGCTATCCATTCCACAACTCAAGCTATCCTCAAAATTAAACCCATCACGGCGTCTCACAAAGTTGTGTAAAACACAACAGGCTTTGGTTATTTTGACCGCAAAATTTGGTTCAACCAACATACTCGTTTGAAAAATTCTCCATTTCTTTGATAAGATTCCAAACGAACACTCAATGTACTGACGGGCTCTTGACAAACGATAATTGAAAATTCGTCTTTCGTCATTAAGTGTTCTGCCAGGAAACGGCCGAAATAATTTTTTATTCAGAGCAAAGGCCTCGGCAGCCACGAGTATAAATGGTTGTGGTACACCTTGATCATCCCCAGGTAGACATCGTTCGGGAGGAAAGTTTACTTTGTCTGAATATAACTTTTCACCAAACGGTGACATCTTGAAAACATTACAGTCACTTTCTTTGCCGTAAGATCCAACATTAATGATGCGAAAACAATAATTTGAGTCGCAAATAGCCATAAGTATAAGTGAAAAAAATTTTTTGTAATTGTAGTACAAAGACTCACTATTTTTGGGGCATTCTAATCGTATGTGTTTTCCATCAACCTGTAATTATTATTATTAATATCATTTAATTTATCAGGTAGGAACATGCAACAAAAAATTTAAAAAAAATTAATATTTTTTAGTACATTAAACAAGCAAAACAATAAATTTATGTTAGTTATTAAACTCACCGCCCCGACTGTATTTGGAAACTGGATCTTTTCAAAATATGCTGATGCAATATCCAGCCAATCATTAGTTGTGGGCTCTGACATCTCAATTGGCTGTAATATGTCCCATATCACCTCGCATGTTTCCAACACTATATTCGATATGGTCGATACTCCCATTAGAAACTCGAAATGTAATGCTGAGAAATGTGTTCCACAAGCCAAATATCTGAATATTATAATATCGTATGAAAATTATTAAAACGAAAATTTATATAATTTTAAATTTTGAGCGGAGCGAAGAAAAATTTAAAATCCTTAGATTTTCTTCAACGGTATCTTTTCTCATAGAAATTTAATTTGATTTGCTATTGTAGGCATTTTTTTTTGAAAAACTTACTTTCTACCTTTATCAAAAAAAAAAAAAATGCCTACAATAGCAAATCAAATTAAATTTCTATGAGAAAAGATACCGTTGAAGAAAATCTAAGGA